GCTAAAAAGATGCGGCGTGCAATCGAATTCTTATTAAAGTAGAATCAATTACGAATTGATCAAAGATGCCCGTTGATGAAGCTTCGTAGGACGCATTCTCGAGCAACTTGTATAAAATTGCGCATTGGATCGAGTCGAAACGAGCTCCCCCCCCCCCCCCCTCGGCCCAGGCTGTCTCTCTATAATTACAGAGACTAACGACGCGATTTTGTGCGTGTCGGTGAAAAGCGATGTTCCCCGCTCGTGCAACTTCGCAAGATTGATTTTCTGCAATTAGAGGACGGTCTTAACGAGTTTCCGTTGAAACGGAGTACTTTTTACCCACCGTACCGCGTACACCTCGCTATGACGTTTCGCATGTCTTAATGGATTTCCGAGTTTTAATATTTTACGAAAAGATTGCGATCTCGTTACTTGCGACTGGTTAATCGACAATATCCGTCGAAGAGCTGTTTGATTTGTATTAGAGGAGAGAAAGAGATAGATAGATAGAATCAGAATCGGAAACATTATTTATTACACGCTCTGGAACAAAAGTCCCCTAAAGCGTGTATATGTGGATGTTAGAGTAAAGAGAATTAGGTATAATAATATGTGTAATATGAGATGGGGTTTTTGGAGCAGAAATTAAGATAAGTAACGCGATAACTTTGATTACATTTCGCACGACGGTTCAGTAAACAAATAACAGATTTTTTATAATCTAGTACTAAAAATGACCCAAATCTTGCTTGTCAATTTTGTACGGTTCTAGAGCGCAGGTTCCCAAATAGCTTGCGATCAACTGGATAGATAGATAGATAGATAGATAGATAGATAGAGGGACAGAGAGAGAGAGAGGGGGGAGGGGGAGAGCGGTTTGAAAAGGGCGAAAATTTTTTCCAAGTCCGTCCTCTTTATTAAAAGCCTGACATTTTCTTCCGGTCATTTGATCTGGAGACAGGAGGGAGTGTGTAACGTTCTCTCTGAAAAGCGGGCTCATAAACGACGACAAAAAAATGACGACGACGACCTGAATAACAAACCGCTCAAAGGGGATATATTTAATAAGTAAAGCGGATCACTATCTTTTCCTCTCGCAGTTTAAGACGCGATTTTCAGGCTAATTAAAAGCTCTCTCATGACTATATCGTGATCCCGGTTAATTGCACGATTGCAATTACGCGCTGCACGCGACGCGCTGCGTCCGGAAGCGGATTATATTAAAAATGCGTGCGTCAAAGAGCGGATCGTGTGTTAATTAATTCGCGTTTGAGCCGTTATCGCGGATTAGATTAATTTAAGCCGCTTGATCGAGTTTGCGTTTTTCGCGCTGACCTGAACAGCACCTGCAATCTACCGTCGTTGCCACCTGCCCTTTCGTCGCTAAACAACATAATGGGCGCCGGGCGATTTCGCCGCTCGCTCGTCTCGCAAAACTTGCAGTGGATTTGTATTTTACCGAATGAAAAGTAGCGTTTGTGTCGCGGGATGGAAAATTTTGCCGATACGTGGCACGTCAAATATTGAATATCTCGCGCGAGCGAGTATCCACTTTCCATCGTTAATCGAAAGCGCTCGTTGAATTTTGCGCTACAAATAGTCCCTAACGCTTCTGCGAATCGTCGTTTGCTGATTACGCGCCCTCGCGAGAAAGCCACATGTTCGCGACTCATTCGCATACACGTCAATCAAGTCGGCGTTGAACTCGCATTAGCGTTAAATGCATACGCGTCATGCGAATACGCCGCTGCAGTATCTGTGCATCCACCGCCGATCGTGCGAGTATTTCCGCGCCCGCGAACAATTAATTAGGCGAGAGTAATAAAATCTGCCCGCGAAAAAAGAACAGATCGATACCCAAACGGAAAGTTAATGGAATGAATTTGACCAATCGCAAAAGAATGAACGAAAAAGAAGCATTTCTCCAAGTTTCGTTCACTTGTAATTATTCCGACACATTAACGTAATAATTGAGATATACAATATTTACCAGGGTTGGGAAAGTTACTTTATAAAAATATCTAGTTACAGTTACATTTTTGGCGAATACAAGTTACCAATTCTGAAAAGTAACGCGTTACAGTTACTCAAAAAGTAACGAATCGTTACTTTGCAGTTACTTTCTTGCAATGAAAATGAAAATATCAAATCTGCATTTGAATTGTAAAGCGTCGATAAAGGCGTGTATGCGCAAATGCAAGGCCTAATGCGATCTGTGGAGGTTCAAAAAATATATAAAGTAACTACTAATGTAACTAATTAAATTAGTTACTAGTTGTCGAAAAAATGTAACTGAGTTAAGTTACAGTTACGATGGAGAAAAAGTAACGAAGTTAAGTTAGAGTTACCAAAAAAATGACTAACTGTAACTTCGTTACAAGTAACGTGTTACTTCTCAACTGATATTTACAATATATTCCTTGGTACATTAACAAGTCAGTACAATTAATATCCAAGCCGTGCTTTTCTGCTCACCCCTTCATCTCTTAATCGCTCATGGCTTATACGACTTGGGTATTTTACCGCGTTTCATCTTCCGATGCCGTTATGAATTCATTTCTCCCGAGACTCCGTTTACCGTTTTCTCTTTCTCCGGTGGTTTGTTGTCCGGCGTGCTGCGAAAAAGGTAGGCGACGCGCGTTATCTCCCGCGCAATACCGCGCTCGGGCTGCCAAGCTAGTTTCAAAGTGGTGAAATCATGTCTCCCTTGACAAACGGCGATACAATTGCCGCGAGTGTTTGCACGTCGCACTCAATTACGTTCTCGAGCCAATATGCGCGGACGATGCGGAGCGAGACGAGTGCTTTTGTTCCCCGTCTGCGCGTCTCTGTGTGTACGCGCGTCTCTGATACGTGGCGCATTCTGCTGCGCTCTGATTGTAAGGATTTCGTCGTAATCACGGGACCACCTGGTGACGATTGTACGCCGGTTTTCGGTCCTCCTCGATACCGGTGTGTCGCGCGAATGCCGAGCGAACGAGCCGACTTTTAATTAATTATTCGGGTGATGCTGCGCCGCGTGAAATACCGCCGATGTTGGTGGTCGCGCAGTCTCAGGCTGCAAACTCATAGAGTGGAACGGTGCACGCAGAAAATCGCGGAAGGAGAGCCTTGACCAATCACGAGCGCTCCGCTGTTTTCGTTAACGCGAAATCACAGACCCTACTAGGTCCCCATGGGACGGTACTTATTTTTGTAGTTAAGCAACTTAACATTTCGGTTAGTGTCTCTTAAGTGAAAATTATCTTTGCGTTACCGAGTATCGACAGAACTAATTGATTACTTTAAACTCTTAGATATAAATAGAATAGCTAATTTTAGTAATCGAATCGATTTTAGAATCGATTTTAGAATTAAAGTAATACTAAATTAATTCCCTCAATTAGTTCTATCGATGCTCAGTAACGCAAAGATAATTTTCACTTTGAAGAGGCACTAACCGAAATGTTAAGTTGCTTAACTACAAAAAAAACCGATTTTTAGTCACGGGGTAAAATTCGTAAAAGATTAGAGTGTAACGAACAATCCAAATAATTCGATTACTAATTGCAGGCTTGAAAACGGGTTGCTAACTGCCTCTTTTTCCCCCAGAGTACCGTCCCATGGGGACCTAGTAGGGCCTGTGATTTCGCGTAACGAAAACAGCGGAACGCTCGTGATTGGTCAAGGCTCTCGTTCCGCGATTTTCCGCGTACACCGTTCCGCTCTATGAGTTCGCACCCTCATAGTCCTCCCGCGGTTGTTGTCGCCGTCGTCGTCGTCGTAGCGCGGTTAAAGCGCGTACGGGGTAAATCCTCGCACGTGTTTCCGCGCATTAGCACGTATGCCATCTCCCGGTACGTGGTCCCGAGCGGTGCATTCGTACCCGAGCAGCCACCACCCGCGCAATTATCCTGGATCACTGACTATGAACCGACAATTAGCGGCGCGAGACTGAATGCGACCGCGATGTTTCCAAACTCGGCGTCCGCGAGCAGGTATTTCCGCAAGTTGGAAATGGGACGGCTCGGTGCGGTTCGGTCGAACTGACATAATCTTCGCCCGCGTAATTACTTTGGATCGCTATGAGCGACAGCCGGAGCCGCGCGAGTATGAGCAAACGTTACGTAACTTCATACAATTTCACGCCAGCGTGAAAATTCCGATGCTGCCGGCATTCAGGGGACTCCGGGGAGGAGATATCTCCGATACGATTTGTCCTATTACTGGAGTGCGCATTCCAATTCCATACACAAATATTGCTCGACGTAGCTCGTGCGGTTGAATAATTTAATTTAACAGGCGAGGAAATAGACGTGGAAATAATGCGGGTATCTCGCATTCTTGCCTTAACTTTTTCGCACGCGGTTGAAATTTTCATAGCGCGGCTGTTAGAACCGCATACGTTCTCTCGGAGTCGAAAGACGTAAGTCGTTTTTAATGTCCGAGATAACGCTGACCTAAATTGGAGCCCTAAGTTTTACACATATTGGTTCCAATTAGCGTTCCTGAGTTTTCCCGCGAGCATGTGTTTCTCATTAATTCACGATTAGTAATGCAAGACTGCGCGCGTTGATTAGAGGTAGGCGACTGCGAAAAAGCTCAACTTGCTCCGCGGGGGTTCTTAAAGCTCCGACACAGTAATGGAACGGCGATTTCTTGCTACGCGTTTGCCTTTATGGAACACCTATTTCGCCAACGATTATGTTTTTCCGGGCGAACGTTAACGGGTACCGTCTGATTTTTAAGTGCACAAATCGCACTAACCGCGAGAAGGCGAGGAAACTACGGGGATTGCAAAGACACCGCGTTAATATCAGCAGCGCTACAAGTTCTCTGAAAGAGCGCGAAAATGACGGGGACTGTATCGGTTTTCATCGCTCCGACACTCAATTACGTAGATTAGTCTCGCTGGGACGCGTTATCTCGAGCATTCCCGCAAGAACGCGGTAAGTTTCCTCCGGCGAGGTCGGATTCTCGCCGGACAAGTTGGTCGTTCGCTAACGTTCCTCAGGATTTCAGGCGAGATTGCAACGTACCTTGGCTGATCGCGATCGCCTCGATAACCAGGAGAATACCAGCGAGTACCAGCACGGCGAGCCAGCGACACAGCATTTTTAACACCTCGATCGCTCGCTGCACTACCGATCCTTGCCCGTTAACTGTTACTCGCTATCGCGAAGCACGACGCGCGGTCATCGATCTTTGACGTCTATCGCCGTGTCCGCGCACTGCGTCCTCACTGTGTCGTATCTCCCACAATGAAAACGCGCAGGTTGATTTTCTCCCCCGTCAAATCGAGCCTCCTCGAAACGGTATAGACACTTGGGCTCTCACCGCGAAAACCATACACACGTTACTTCACTGTAAGCAATTTTCAACTCCTGCGTGAACTTTTGCGTTCCGAGATAGAGAAATTACTTCACGATTAACACCTGGGGGGAAGATGAAGCATCCACTGGTAACGGCACGAGTTTGCTAGGAGCACGAATCTCCGAATTCGTGAAAGCTTGCCGAGCGCAGGACGCGGAACGCCGTGATATATCAACGGTATTGTCAGAGGGTGTGCGCATATCGAGCGTAAATCCACGACGGTAATCCACGGTAACAAGGTCTAATGCTCACAAACGATGTCCCGCGGCCGGTGTCATGCGGCCGAGGTGCACTTGCACGCGTCCCCGATGACAGCCGCGCTCACGTGGAGCCTCCGCCTGGACGAGCGTCGCGACGCGCGATCCGCGAGTGCCCTGTCTCAGGCGCAGCATCCTCCGGCCGGGACGCGCGCGTCGGCCGCTTTCGGTCGGCGATATCGGGCTGATTCCGTGTCGCGTTTTACCCGATTAACTCGCGTGACTCTGCCTTAAGTTCGTCATCGTACGCCTCTGTCGCCCTTCGCCGTCGTCGTCGTCGTCGTCGTCCTCCCGCGCGACGACGTTGAACCCGCATGGACCAGCCGCCGGCGCGGATGAGGCCTGCCGCTCGGCGTCGCGGCGCGAAATGATCCTGCGGGGTACACGTCGCGACGGCGCGCTTGCGCGATGACTTTGCTGCGTTCGCCGCGGATAAAGCGCGAACCGGTTACGCGCAGACCTCGTCTCTCCTCTCTGCCTCTCTTCCGTCACCCCTCGTCCATCTCGTCGCGCGGCGCCGCGGCCACTGGGGGGATGACCGCCGCGAGATCGGGAGTGCACCGAGGCACGCGCACATGCACACACCCCCGCGACGTTCGTCGAGGGGCTCGTCTTGTTGTCGACCCCGCGGCTGTCTCCGACGTCTTCGTGAGAATTATGATGTTGTCGCTGCTGACAGATCGGCGAACTTTGTCCATATTAGACGTCGGTTATTAGCGGCCCTCGTAATTCTTCTTCCGCCCGCCGTGCGAATTGCTCCCCCCCCCCCTCCCTTCCCTCTTCCCTCGTCCCAAATGCACGGTGTCCGATGTCCGATTACGTAATGCTTGTCGCGAAAATTGACGCTCTTTTCAGCGGACAAAAACCACTGGACGCTATACTTGGACGCTAGAATATGTTGTAATTATAGATATTGCGAATATATGTTCCATTAAAGGTATTCCATTCCTGTTTAATGAATTATTCAAAGTAATCCTCGTCGCTCTTGATGAATCCGATTAATATACATACATGTATCAGTAGTACGCTAGAATTAGGTGAGATGTCATTTGTTCTGGACACTGCGCTCTCTCTCTCTCTCTCTCTCTCTCTCACACACTTCTCTCCTTCTCTTTTTCTTTCAAAGTTGATAATTTCGCGTGCTTGCACTACGGACCATTGAACTCCGTCAAGACACGGCAAGTATTGCCAAACTGTAGCACATTGGTAGCGACGCGTAACGTGTTCCTGTTTACAGAAAGTTATCGACGTGAATACCGTTGCCAAGTATGCACCGCAGGCTCGCCCCTATCGACAATAACTGCTGTTAATGTTAGTGCGCGAGGTGGAAACTCTCGATTGGGAGCGCTATATCAAGGGCTTACAGAGGCCGAGATCTATGAGTGCTTTATCCAAAAGCTTGGCGATCCACGGAATCACAGACTAATAGTTTAGCCGCCGAAGGTGTTTTCGAATTGCATACTTGCGAAATTACAGAATTAAGCTTTCGAGTAAGATCTCTGCGACTCAAATTGCAATTTGTCTCGCGGTACACAAGCATTAGCGATCTATTAATTTACAGGCAAATTCCTAATCGCAAAATTAATTTTAATTACTTTGATGAGAGTCTTCCTATCTCCTCTTTTGCATACATCAATTATGAATTAGCAATCAAACCTCAGCCCTTTCTCTTGAATTAAATTCATACATTACATACATCCGTTGCAATGCTACCAGCCTTTGATCATCGAGAGATAATTAATTACATCATCGAACGGATTTGCTTTCAAATCTTCCGAGATAATCGTTTATTGATCGCGCGAGTACTCGTCTTTTTCACACCTGAGTAGTTTCCCGAAATTTCGCAACGACGGTTCGATGGACGAAACTATTTTACTGTAATGTCGGACACGCTCAAATGGGATTTTGACTTTCTTTTAGGCGGATCGCCACTGTGTTTAGATCATATAACGGGCTTTGCCGGACGGCTTCACGGGCTCCATCGGAACGTGTAGGCGAGCTTTAGCGATTCTAAAAGGATACGTGCCAGCGCGTGCTTTCAGATCGGGACGGGATTGATCGAACGGATCTAGAGCAAAATGTTCCGCCTGTTACACATCTATACGAGATCGCGCGGTACGGCATGTCCATGGTGTAGCCTCCGTTGTCGAGTGGTATTTGTTCAAGCTCGCAGTTGGTACACCAAACGCTCCACGTTAACGAGAATTCTGCGTAGTTGATCTTACGAGCGGAATAATATATCAGGGATCTATTGAGTTATGGTCCTGATGTGAATCGGACATTGCTACATTAATCAGTTGCTGCATCAATACGTTCTGCGGTATGCAGCAGCACACGTCGTGGTCGAGACAGATTCCGACGTGTATTATTCAATTTTCTTTGCACATTCGCGTATAAATGTGCTCTATTTATTAACGTGGATGGCTAAGGTAAAGAAAACATTTTGATTGTTATTACTGATATTAAAACTAAAAATAAAGTAATGAGGACTTGTATTAATTGTTACATTACACTCGTATCATAACTCATTATTCACGTTTAATCAGTGTTTAAAACAGTTGGTTTTACGAAAAATTTACTTTCCTCTATTCTTCGAATTAACGACTCATTTATCGACAATTAATAAAATGAGTTTCGATTGCAATCTATGAAATGTTTATAGAAATTCTAGTTATGCTTTAATAAATTAATTATTGGATCACTAAATTAGAAAAGTATAGATTGTATTTATTTAATATGTAAAGGACGGCTCTATCAATTATTTAAAAAAAACAATCTTTTATTTTAATTAAAGATAATGTTTCATATTAATTCATTAAACAAAGTAATACTTTTAATTGATTACTGGATCACTAAATTAGAAAAGTATTCACTGTATTCAATATATAAACGATAACTTAATAATTTGTAAAAAACAATCTTTTATTTTAATCAAAGATAATTGTCTCATATTTATTCATTAAACAAAGTAATACTTTGAATTAATTACTGGATCACTAAATTAGAAAAGTATTAAATATATAAAGGATAACTATTGATTGTACAAAACAATCTTTTATTTTAATTAAAGATAATTGTCTCATATTTATTCATTAAACAAAGTAACAATTTTAATTAATTACTGGATCACTAAATTAGATAAGTATTTAATGTATTTAATATATAAAGGATAACTCTATTGATTGTAGGAAACAATCTTTTATTTTAATTCAAGATAATTGTCTCGTATTTATTCATTAAACAAAGTAATACTTTTAATTACTGGATCACTAAATTAGAAAAGTATTTAATGTTTTTAATATATAAAGGATTACTCTATTGATTGTAAAAAACAATGTTTTATTTTAATTAAAGATAATTCCTTCATATTTATTCATAAAACAAAGTCAAACGTAAGACGTATTATAAAATTAAAGTTACCAGCGGGAATATTGTTACATTATGCGCAAGATATCCTTGCTCAGTTTGTTCGTCTGCGTTAGTAATTATTAGTATAGACACTGTGAAATTATGTGCAACCGTCGCGAGGTCGAAATTTCAAGCGGGTGACGTTTCGCATATAGTATAACTTTGCCAACATTTCAACTAAATATTTAGTCGACATGCATCTGCTTGCATAATACTCAAAGATCCATCCCGAAACCGCAAGAGTCGAATTCCCAGCGTGCACGGAACGTCGAATATAGGCTGCCTTGGTCTAATCCCTCGCGCTGGCGTCGTGCACATAAGCAACTGGTTACATCAGCGGCACTGAAAACCGTATATGGTCGCATTTAACGTTAATCGCGCGGTGCGAACATTGGGTGGTCCAGCGTGTTTTCGCGCAATTTCAGATTATTAGCCGCGATTTCCTGGAATTTCCATCGCGGATTAAAACGGATCTATCTTCGTATTGACTCTAATGATATGTCCACTTTCGCAACGTTTACATTTTCGCAATCGAAGTAATATTAATAGGCGTTTCAACGGATTGGTTTGTTGTGACCAAACAGTTTCTACAATCTACACAATTGTTGTCGCGTATAGAAATATAATATAATTATTGATTCTATAATTATTAACAATTTCATGTCATAAAGTATCGTGAGAGGAAGTAATTGTTATAAATCTGTTAAAATATGACGTACAATTTGATATGAAGTAATTAAATAGGTTGTAGTTTCTACTACGAAGCTTGACGTCTATTTCTTGAAACGTGCTGCATAACAGATTTTTTGTCACAAGATATTTGCCTAGAACTTTGTAAAAGATACACTTTTTTTGTCAAATGAAAGAAGAGAACCTAATTGTTTTCCAGAATGTAAGCGATGATTGCAAGCCTGAGGGAAATGTTCTATCAAAATTGCTCCCCCGCTTTGCTGCAACGAACTACCACATTTATTTAAAATTCGTTTTACATCCGCGGCGTTTTCATTTTTTATCCAAACGATATTACAACGTCGCGAAATACCCTGAGATTATATCGACATGAATAGCGCAATAACTCGCCGAGCATATTTACGCAATCCCAGGCCGAGAATGCATCGTGTTGGTAATACTCGCTCGAATCGCCTGTCCCGCGGGTATAAATTCGGCTTTTATTTCGATAATCGTCGAGGAATTAAACGCTCGCAGAGTTTTATCACGAGAGAAGGCGTGGCGTTAAGTCTGATTTTAGCATACATTATTTAAATGGAACCTGCCGCGCCACTTGGCGAACAAACAGTTGCGGTATCGCTTCGTGCCGGCCGGGACTAAACGCGTTAATGACTAATTATCTTTTACGTGCCGGCGAAAAATATCAGCTGCAAATCGCACGCGCGTAATGCAGCAACGTGTTTTCGGTATTTTATGCGGTAAATTTTACAACGAGGTTACCCAATGATTACGCAAAAACTCGCAATTTGCAGACCCTACCTCGCGCGTAGGTAGATGCGAACGCATACACGCACGCACGCACATTTCCGTGTCGTATCGTGCCGATTATCGATTTTAGTGCGGCGTGAAACATCACGGTTGAAGATTAGCATCGTTTGCTCGCATTTACCGGGAAATTCGCGTTGACTCAATATCAGTTACGTGACGTAACATTCTATTCTACGTTTCGTCTTCGTAACGACATGATCGAGCGCGATGCAAATGTTCTTTTGAGGTTGAACATTTATAACGAATTATAATATAAGAGAGAATTTGTTCTCGAAGAACGTGAGATAAATGTCATTTGCTGTAATAACACCGTTATCATTCTTTCCTCACGCTTAGTAAATTGCCACGGACATTAATACTTATCGCCATTTCGACACTCGGAGCGTTGATGCTGTTTTCGC